CACACACACACACACACACACACACACACACACACACACACATCCTCATTTGATCCTCACAGGCTGTGAGAAGGGAAGAATGTTGACCAAGAATGACAGGATTTTAGATTTCTTAAAACTGGTTTTTCCCATTTATTTTTAACATCTTGAAGTCTGGGAGATTTGCAGCCGCTTGCGTTCTCTCTGTAAAGGGCAGATGTTTCTGCATTTTCAGCAGTCATTGATTTGGCTTCGGCATGCTCCCTCCTCGGTTGCTGGTTTACATGACAATCTCAGCTTTCTGCATCCTGAGGGTCAGCGCCGTGGACACTTTCCTCGCAGCTGTTTATGAGCACACAGTCATATTGCCCAATGACACCCTGACTCCTGTGTCCCCGGAAGAGGCATTGGCCTTAATGAACCAAAACCTGGATATTTTGGAGGAAGCCATCGCAGCAGCAGCGAAGAAGGTACTGTCTGTCCCATGTGCTGGATTCTACGTAAGGAGAGAATATTAGGAGACAGGGTCGTCCTTAGGGTTATGTATGTTTTTGGACAGCAAATGTGACAAGGTATAAATTTACAAGTAGAGTTCTATTTACCTCTCAAAATTATTTGAACAAAGATACTCTCCTCTTCCTTGGATCTCCTTAAGTGAAGGCTGACCTCACAGCTAGCAGTAGAAATAAAAGAAAAACTAGAACAGGGTTTTTAAATTTTTTTCTCGTAGTCGTTTGTTGAACGAACTATATAACCTCAACATCTTTGCTCTTCTTTTCTGCCACAGTTGGAGGGTGGAGAATAAAGGTGTCAGAATCTTGCCAAATTGTCAGGGCCATGATTCTAAGTGATTTGGCAGCTACATAATGAGGAAAAGGGGCAGTAATATATTGATGGAGTCATCCTCCACCTTGTGGTCTGAGGTGGGCAGCCTTCTTTTTCATGTAATACTCGTTTTCACATACTAAGATGGATAGTGAGGGTAATTGATAAAAAAGAAAAAGAATATAGAGGAATAATCTTAGAAGTGTAATGTTTGAGAGTGGAGTTTAAGGAAAGGCAGGGCAGACAGATTTATAAAAATAATCATTTTTTCCTCCTTGAGATTGCACGAGATGTGAAAGAATTGACCTACTTTTTAAAGGTTTGTCTCTGGGTGACACAAAAGTTTAACTTTCATTAATAAAAGGTTCATGGTTAATGTACCCTTAGAGGCATCTGGGAATAAAGAACTGATGACTTACTTCCAAAAAGAAATCAGCCATTGGAAATCCTGTAGAGCACAATCTACTTTGACGCACACCAAATCCCCATGAGTTAGAATCCTAAAGGTGTGTGGGTTGACTCCACCAGTTGCTCCATGGGAGAAGAATTAACATCTTCTCCTGTGCAATCTGCTGCCTTTGAAAATCAGCTGGAGGGTCAGCTCTGGGTCAGTTCCCATTCAATAGCACACAGCAACAGTAGTCCTTAAAGACACGATAGGCATAGAGGTTGCTAGTAAATATTATCACCCAGTCTCTCTCCTTCATTGTTTATTTGGAAAATGTTTTCATTTTAACAGGGTGTGCATATTATTGTAACTCCAGAAGATGGTATTTATGGCTGGGATTTCAGTAGAGAAACTATTTACCCATACTTGGAAGATATCCCAGATCCTCAAGTCAACTGGAATCCCTGTAATAACCCCAAAAGGTAAAGAAACAGACTGTGAAAAATTCAATCATGAACATAAATAGATTTTTCCTGGGAAAATTTTACTGTTGGTTATTGAATATACTATTCTATTTGCTCCAGTGTCAAGATAGTTTTCATTATTTTTTACATACAACTTGCTTGGCTCCACAATCAACTCTCTTAGCACCAGCAGTCAGAAAACCAAAAGACAAATTGTGTTAGGTACATCTGCTGTTAGAGACCTTTCTGGAGTACTGAGAAGCAATCATATTGGTCTAGAGACTAAGGTGTGCCTGATCCAGGCTATGGTCTCTGCAATTACTTGCTATGCATCAAAGAATTGGATAATGACTAAGGATGATGGAAGAAAAACTGATACTTTTTAGTTGTGGTGCTGGAGAAGAGTCTTGAACATACTGTGGACTGCCAAGATAACAAATAGGTCTATCTTGGAGAAGGTGAAACCAAGTTTCTTCTTGGAGGCTAGGATTTTGAAGCTTTGTCTCACATACTTTGCACATGTGGCCAGGAGAGATCAATCCTTGGAGAAGGACATCATGCTCAAAAGGGTGGACAGGAGAGGAAGACCTGGGATGAGATCGATCAATAAAGCAACTATGGCAAGGGGGAGTAGGTGTATTGGAGTCAGTGAGATTGGCTCAGGACAAGGCAGAGCTATTGTACATAGGGTTGCTATGAGTCACAGGTGACTTGATGGCACAAAACAACAACATGCTGATCCAATGGCTCCACATCTACCTTCATCTCTAGTGGTTTAAATCTGCCAGCAGTTAATTGGGAGAAAGAAAGATGGAGTGTCACTGTGAGAACAAACACAATGACAATGAGCCAGTATCACCAGTGATCCTTACAATCCCACCAATAGTAGAAAAACAGGACAAATTAGAGTACTAAATTAATTAAAATTAATGTGGAGAAAGTAGTTTTTAAGAGCCACCATGATTGTGAGTCTGTAATTAGAGTTGAATATGAAGAATGTATCTTTTGGAACCTGCGAGAGGAACAACTGGGCTAAAAAAATTTCATGAGCAACACAATGTCTTCAATCACAGAACTCAAAGATGAATGTACTTCATCTTTATGTATTTTCATTGAGTATTTGTTATGCACCTGGCACACGTCTATGTGAACCTATGCACCTATGACGATGGTGATCTGGCTTACAGGCTGAAAGAATCAATCACTATTTCAGTAAATGAAATTATAGAACTTGCCTTGTTAATTAGCCTGCATGAGAGAGAGAAAAAAATTGCTCACTTTATTTTGTATTATTTCAGATTTTGCAGGCATTTGTGTATGATTATTGATTATCTCAAATTCACCTCAATTCACTGCTGTTGACCTGAAACTGATTCCCAGCTGACACTCTAATAGGTTTTCAGAGGCTATGGGAGGAGATTGTCCATCTTTCTCTTAAGAAGATGCTGGTGGATTCAAGCCAGCAACTTTTATGTTACCAGCACACCTCTGTATGGACTGCTATACCAGACATCCCTAGTGAGTTTAGATATTTAAGTATTTAGCACTTACTTTAGTATTAACTTGGTAATACTTTATAAGTATTTAATCCTACAGCATTCACGTTATCCGCATCTGTGCTTCCTCTGTGTGGGCTTGGAGAACTTTGTCTGCAATTTACTACAGATTGACCAGGGTGAAAATAACCTTAGAAAATACATTTGCCACCTCTTTCTTCTATTCTTGGGTGTCTTAGGAGAGAGCTGTGGATTAAGTGACAAACAGATTTCAGGCCCTCATAAGGAAATGACAATTTTTAATTTGCAAACTATGACATATAGTCATCAAATTGGTTCCAACTCAAAGTGACTCTCCCCCAAGTTTAAGAGGCTGTAAATGATAATGGGAGGAGACTGCTACTCTTTCTCCTGTACAGCAGCTTGTGGATTTGAACTGCAAGAGACACAGCATGTTAGTTACCAGTGAAACACCTTACAGACTAGGACACTAGAGCTGGACCTTTTGCAGGTCTAATAAAGAAAATTGAAATAAAATGAAATTATTATTTGCAAGATATTTGTAAGACCAATAGAAATAGTCTTTTAGAAAAACAAAACACCTTGTACCTCTTCTGCTACTTTAGGTAACATGGAAATGTTTGGGGTAAATATCTACTTCAAGCAAATACGTTTATTTTATTGACTACTGTACATTTTAGTTATTAATTCAACAAAAAGGGGATATCTATCAACTGATAACTTTTTATTGTAAATATATTAAAATAGCTTTCTAGATATGATGTACAACACTGTTTTGCTCATTTCAGGGATATGTTCTAGAAGTAATCGCTATAACTTTGTTTACGTAAGTTGTACAAATTTGGTTTAAATCTAATTATCATTATTTGACCCATGGGAAATTCCCATGACAGTTTTCCAGGAAGTGGCACTAAATTTTCATTCATTGAAGTTGTAATCTTCTGGCTTTTTCAGCTCCTCAGTAACCATTTATCATTTCAAGGTTATACCGACAGGTGATAAATATGGCTATCTGAAGTCTCACTTTCTCTGCTTGTTATTTATAGTTAGTTGCTTTATCAGGACAATATGACTGGGATCTATAATAATGAAATCAATATAAAGGCAAATGAAGACATTAAGCATTAACAAATGCTCCTAAAGCCCATCTTTCCATACCACCAATTTTTGCCTTAGTTCAGACTTTTGATTTCTCCTGTAAATTACTGCAATGTTTTATCGTGAGCTTTTAACTCACCATTCTAGTTCCCTCTCACTCCACAATTGTTTGTGAAAATTCAGATTTTGCTACTTCTGTGCTCAAATCCTTTAATGATATCCTTTCATCTGTTCAAACAGATTTCTTAGCCTCTTGTTCAAACCGCTATATATTGTGACCCCGAAATGATCTTTTAAATTTCTCTTTCCCCTTAAGGATGCCTCTGCTACACTCAGATTTACTAATTCTCTGAATAAAACTTTCCGTTCCCCACATCAGTGCTTTGGTTTACTTATCCCAATGTATTTGAATACCTCGTTTCTGCCACACAATGTGTGGAGTGCACAACACAAGACATTCAGACACCTGCCCCATAGTACACATTGAATATGGCAGAAAGTCGAAAATGAATACACACATGGAAGTATGATGAGAGATTATGAAAGATAATATGATTGGAAACAAAAGCAGAATTCAGGACTGATCAGGTCTTACCCTAGAATATTGTGTATAT